CAGTGTGATTTGCTGCCTTCCTCCCTATCACCTATATCTGGCATTTCTCCCCATGTTATCCCTCCCCAACACCCCACCCCCCGCTGTTCCTCCCCTATTTCCCCACTACAGACTCCAGTGTGTGATGCTCCCCTCCCTGTGTCCATGTGTTCACATTGTTCAACACCCACTTGTGCGTTAGAATATGTGGTGTTTGGTTTTCTGTTCTTGTGTCAGTTTGCTGAGAATGATGGTTTCCAGCTTCATCCATGTCCCTGCAAAGGACATGAACTCATCCTTTTTTATGGCTGCATACTATTCCATGGTGTATATGTGCCACAATTTCTTTATCCAGTCTATCGTTGATGGGCATTTGGGTTGGTTCCAAGTCTTTGCTATTGTAAACAGTGCCGCAATTAACATATATGTACATGTGTCTTTATAATATAATGTTTTATAATCCTTTGGGTATCTACCCAGTAATGGGATTGCTGGGTAAAATGGTATTTCTATTTCTAGGTCCTCGAGGAATCGCCACAGTGTCTTACACAATGGTTGAACTAATTTACACTCCCAGCAGTGTAAAAGTGTTCCTATTTCTCCACATCTTCTCCAGCATCTGTTATCTCCTGACTTTTTAATGATCACCATTCTAACTGGCGTGAGGTAGTATCTCAGTGTGGTTTTGATTTGCATTTCTCTAATGACCAGTGATGATGAGCATTTTCCGTGTTTGTTGTCCTCATAAATGTCTTCTTTTGAAAAGTGTCTGTTCTTATCTCCACTTTTTTTTTTTTTTGAGACAGAGTTTCGCTCTTGTTACCCAGGCTGGAGTGCAATGGCGCGATCTCGGCTCACCGCAACCTCTGCCTCCTGGATTCAGGCAATTCTCCTGCCTCAGCCTCCTGAGTAGCTGGGATTACAGGCACGCGCCATCACGCCCAGCTAATTTTTTTTTTTTAATTATTTTATTTTATTTTATTTTATTTTATTGCATTTTAGGTTTCGGGGTACATGTGATGAACATGCAAGATTGTTGCATAGGTACACACATGGCAGTGTGGTTTGCTGCCTTCCGTCCCCTCACCTGTATCTGTCATTTCTCCCCATTTTTTTTTTTTTTTTTTTTTTTTATTCCAGCTAATTTTTTGTATTTTTAGTGGAGACGGGATTTCGCCATGTTGACCAGGATGGTCTCAATCTCTTGACCTCGTGATCCACCCGCCTCGGCCTCCCAAAGTGCTGGGATTACAGGCTTGAGCCACCATGCCCGGCCATATCTCCACTTTTTAATGGGGTGTTTGTTTTTTCTTGTAAATTTGTTTTAGTTCTTCGTAGATTTTGGATATAAGCCCTTCATCAGATGGGTAGATTGCAAAAATTTTTTCTCATTCTGTTGATTACTGGTTCACTCTAGTGATTGTTTCTTTTGCTGTGCAGAAGCTTTAAGTTTAATTAGATCCCATTTGTCTGTTTTGGCCTTTGTTGCAATTGCTTTTTGTTTCAGTCATGAAGCCCTTGTCTATGCCTATGTCCTGAATGGTTTTGCCTAGGTTTCCTTCTAGGGTTTTTTTTGTTTGTTTATTTGTTTTGTTTTGTTTTGAGACGGAGTTTCGCTCTTGTTACCCAGGCTGGAGTGCAATGGCACAATCTCGGCTCACCGCAACCTCCGCCTCCTGGGTTCAGGCAATTCTCCTGCCTCAGCCTCCTGAGTAGCTGGGATTACAGGCACGTGCCACCATGCCCAGCTAATTTTTGTATTTTTAGTAGAGGCGGGGTTTCACCATGTTGACCAGGATGGTCTCGATCTCTTGACCTCGTGATCCACCCACCTCGGCCTCCCAAAATGCTGGGATTACAGGCTTGAGCCACCGCGCCCGGCCCCCTTCTAGGGTGTTTATGGTGTTAGGTCTTACGTTTAAATCTTTAATCCATCTGGAGTTAATTTTTGTATATTAGGTACAAAAAAGGGATCCAGTTTCAGATTTCTGCACATGGCTAGCCAGTTTTCCCAATACCATTTATTAAACAGGGAATCCTTTCCCTGTTGCTTGTTTTTGTCAGGTTTGTCAAAGATCAGATGGTTGTAGATGTGTGGCATTGCCTCCAAGGCCTCTGTTCTGTTCCATTGGTCTATATCTCTGTTTTGGTAACAGTACCATGCTGTTTTGATTCTTGCAGTATAGTTTGAAGTCAGGTAGCATGATGCCTCCAGCTTTGTTCTTTTTGCTTAGGATTGTCTTGGCTATGCTGGCTCTCTTTTAGTTCCATATGAAGTTTAAGGTGGTTTTTCCAGTTCTGTAAAGAGGGTCATAGGTAGCTTGATGAGGATAGTGCTAACTCTGTAAATTACTTTGGGCAGTATGACCATTTTCACAATATTCAATCTTCCTGACCATGAGCATGGAATGTTCCTCCATCTGTTTGTGTCCTCTCTTATTTCATTGAGCAGTGGTTTGTAGTTCTCCTTGAAAAGGTCCTTTGCATCCTTTGTTAGTTGTATTCCTAGGTATTTTGTTCTCTTTGTAGCAATTGTGAATGCCAGTTTGTTCTTGATTTGGCTCTCTTTAAGTTTGTTATTGGTGTATAGGAATGCTTGTGATTTCTGCACATTGATTTTGTGTCATGAGACTTTGCTGAAGTTGCTTATCAGTTTAAAGAGATTTTGGGCTGAGACAATGGGGTCTTCGAAATATACAATCATGTCGTCTGCAAACAGAGACAATTTGACTTCCTCCTTTCCTCATTGAATACCCTTTATTTCTTTTTCTTGCCTGATTGCTCTGGCTAGAACTTCCAGTACTATATTGAATAGGAGTGGTGAGAGAAAGCATCCTTGTCTAGTGCCAGATTTCAAAGGGAATGCTTCCAGTTTTTGCCCATTCAGTATGATATTGGCTGTGGGTTTATCATAAATAGCTTTTATTATTTTGAGATATGTTCCGTTGATACCTAGTTTTGAGTGTTTTTAGCATAAATGGCTGTTGAATTTTGTCAAAGGCCTTCTCTGCATCTATTGAGATAATCATGTGGTTTTTGTCTTTGGTTCTGTTTATGTGGTGGATTATATTGTAGACTGGCGTATGTTGAACCAGCCTTTCATCCCCAGGATGAAGCCTACTTGATTGTGTTTTATAAGCTTTTTGATGAGCTGTTGGATTCGGTTTGCCAGTATTTTATTGAAGATTTTTGCATCAGTGTTCATCATGGATATTGGCCCGAAATTTTCTTTTTTAGTTGTGTCTCTGCCAGGTTTTGCTATCAGGATGATGTTGGTCTCATAAATGAGTTAGGGAGGATTTCCTTTTTGATTTGTTTGGCATAATTTCAGAAGGAATGGTACCAGCTCCTCTTTGCACATCTGCTAGAATTCTGCTGTGAACCCGTCTGGACCTGGACTTTTTTTGGTTGATAGGCTATTAATTACTGCCTAAAGTTCAGACCTTGTTATTGGTCTATTCAGGGATTCAACTTCTTCCTGATTCTTAAGGAGGCCAACTAACATCTCTTTTCTAGAGAGTGGGGAAACTTAAGATTCAGCTCCCAGCTCTCTCCTAGCTTGAACTCTTCATCTTACTATTCTGCTTTTTCCATCAGTTTCTTTTTGATGCTTTCCTTTGGTTACTTTGTGCTATTTTTAATCTTTGACTTTAATGTTAACTTTCGTTTTTCTTATTTTTTAATAAAGCCATTTATAGCTACATATTTACCTCCAACTTCTGCTTTATTGTGATATGTTTTGCTGCTATGTGGAATTCTCCATGTCATTTTTACCAGAGTCTAACGCTGCATTTTCTATTTCTTTTTGACCTATCCAGGAGAATTTCCTTTTTCCAATAAGTAAGATTTTTAATATTGCTTTTTATATATTTGTAATGTCTGTTTTATCGTGTTGTGATAAAAATGTTTTATTTACTATTTCTTCATTTTGGAATTTACTGAGTTTTTATTAGCTATTAACATAGAATTTGTTTTCACAAATATCCTATAGATTTCTAAAAGATGGTGTATTTTCTGTGGGTGAGCATTATTTTACCTATTCAATTTTTTTTTAATGTTGTTTGAATTCTTCCTATATTTGATTTGTCAAAGATTTTCACAGGGGTGAACTGTTTCCTAAGAAAATTGACTTTCTGGCAGGGCATGGTGGCCCACACCTATAATCCCAGCACTTTGGGAGGCTGAGGCGGGTGGATCACCTGAGGTCAGGCATTCAAGACCAGCCTGGCCAACATGGTAAAACCCCATCTCTATTAAAAATACAAAAATTAGTCGGGCATGGTGAAACATGCCTGTAATTCCAGCTACTTGGGAGGCTGAGGCAGGAGGCAGAGGTTGCAGTGAGCCGAGATAGTGCCACTACAATATAGCCTGCAAGACAAGAGAGAAAATCCATCAAAAAAAAAAAAAAAAATAGAAAAGAAAATTGACTTGACTTTCTGGAACTGTCCTTTTGTTTCCAACGATTCCTGTGTTATTTATGTCAATACTATGCTATTAGTTTACAGAAAGCTGCATTATTATAGCTACATTGTGGCCATATATATTTTATAAATGTGCAATGATACTCTCTTGTTATTCCTAATTCTTTAGTCTTAAACTTTGAAGTTAATATTGTCCACTCTTTTTGAATGTTTGTATATACTTTTGTTTATTCTTTTGCTTTTAGCGTTTTTATTCACTTTCACTTGTGGACTTTTAGTCCTTTTATATTCAATTACGAATATGATGCTTGCAGATAGAGTTTGATTTTTTTTTTCATTAAATTTGAGTGTCATTTTGTCAATAAGATGAACACATTTGTGTTTTCTATCTGCTCAAGCTTTGCTGACAGTCTCCCTTTTCCTCTGGTCATTCTTCTTAGCAGAGAGGCTACGTTAGTAAGTCCTGCTCTTGAATCCCAGCTTTAAATAACTGCAGATGAGGCCACCAATGGAAATCTTCAGGCTCACATCTGACATACCACTGCACCCCAATTTTAGTGACTAAAAGTAAAAACATGACCTAGGCCAAAGCAATGTAATTTGAGTGTTTTTATTTCAGGTTCATTTTTTTTTCCACATATTTTTTCAGCTAGAATCAACAGTCAAAACATGTCAAAGAGAAAAATCAAGCTGTTCATCAGAAAAACAATTTTTTCATTGGTTTGTCAATATGATTAAGTATTATAGACATACTAACAAAAATGAAAAAAAATCAGTACCTATATATTCCAAATTTTGCAAGTTTTTCAACTTTTCATTTTAATTATTCTTTTAAATCCATACAATCACTACAGAAAGTAACTAAAGAAATGATTCAGGATGTATTTCTTACTAATGGTTTGAAAATTTGTGGCACTTGGTTTTCAAGGCATCTATAAAGATTTCATCTGTACTAACCATTTAATTAGAAAAAATATGCAAAGTAATGCTATGATGGAAATTTCAAAATATTTGATAGGAAGTACAATTAAAGTTTATATGTTGAGAACAGAGTATATTTCATTTTGTTGGAGTATATGGTGTCTTCTAATCTAGTTAATATACTTTTCTGGCAGCAGCAAATTTAAGCCATATGTCATCAATGATTGCTCAGATCACTTTAAGTATATAATCTGTTATATTAAATAACTTATTTAGGTAACTGCTTTGAACATTTGGTAGACTCAAGTACTTCTTAAAGTTTTAAGTTATTGATTTTTAAATCTGCTTTGTAGGTATAAGCCTCTGAGGGGGCCATGCCTAATTATGTTCCCCACCCTATTGGTCTTTTCCTTTGATAACCATCCGTGGTTACTATGACAGCCGGTCAATAAGCATTTATTGAGACCCTGGTCTGGGGCTGAGACCTATACTAGGGCTGAGAAGTAAATGCTCTAAAAACAAAAGATTGTTTGTCTAGAGAAGTTTATAATCACATTGGTGGCTTTCATGAGCATGAGCCAACATGAGTTTCTTTGATTTTCTTGTTTATCAACAGCAATGACAAAAATGTTTTTCTAGGGATAGCATTGGCTTTGGCAACCCCTTAAGCAGATAAGATGAAAAAAAGCTTGCACTAACCAATAACAAAAAAATGATGCAATATATGTAGAATCTGGTAGGATCATCTCCAGAGGTTTGCATATCCATAGATTAGATTTACAGCATAAAGTACTGGAACATATTTCTTAATTGTGCATACATTAGGTTAAATGTATTCTAATCTTTCATGTTTTAAGAGTAAAATGTCAAGACATTTTTGTGATTTCCTCTAACTAGTAAGACAGGTGGGAGGTTCTTTGTGAGGATTTCCAACCAAGCCATATACAACAAATCCGATATGGATCCTTTTCTTGCCACTGGAAGGCTCCTAGTGACATAAAAGAAAAATTTAAAAATGAAAGTGAAAATTACTATAGGTAGTAGTGGCAATAGCATTTCTGAACTATTTAATAACCGGCAGTCTTAACTTTTACCTTAACCCAAAATGAAAACACTGAAATTATTATTACTATAGATATCAAACTGATGTATTTTTTAGGCAATACAAATACCTATAAACCAGAAAAACAGGGTTAAGTATTGTGAAGACAAAACAAAAATACACATTTTCACTTTTCTTTGAATAGGGAATTTGATCAATTAATACCTGTCACCATTTTGGTGTAAATGATTTTTTCCAATAATTTAAATATCTTACATTTGGGAAAAACCTCAGAAACCATCTACTGGAACCCTACCACTCAATTCAGGAGACCATCCTACAATATGTTTGATGGATAGTTTTCCCAGTCTACATTATGTAAAGACATATTTATCTGTATACACAGGAGTCAATTCATGAGGTATAAGTGTGAAGTCATTGGAGGCTTTCACGTTTAAATACCAATCTTTAAGTAAACAAACACACATTTTCAGTAGACACAACCAGAGTGTAAAGAGTGAAAATAGAAATGGCTCTGCCTTTTTCTCCTACACTGGCCTCTTCTCACAGTACCAGGAGCCTCATGAACCTGCCATGGGCACAGCGGCTCAGGGACACCCACCCAGGGCAGGAGGCTGTGAGCTGTGGTAGCTGACTTGCAGCTGTTAGGCAGGGAGGTCCAGGGTCTCAGGTTCCTGGAGCATGGTCTTACCAGATGGGCACACGCCTCTGGATAAGGCATGGCGGGCAGCAAGTCGAATCGAGGCTCTCTGACACTCACGGGCCTGAGGGGTGAGGGTCTCAGGGTGGCACTTACCTTTCTTTACTGTCTAAGAATCCAACATGTTCCCCCAAAAAACTAAAATTCCCACCTGAAGAGCTGTAAGCTTTTAAATGGATTAACGAATTTATCCTAAGATTTATTTCTAACATTCTTCAATGCTTGCAATGATTACTTACAGGACAATGAGATTAGCGGCTCTTGAGTGCTCCTGTAAGAGTTCATTCAGTCGCACTTGGCGGTAACTCTGTGGGCAATATTTAGATTTGTTGAGTACAGTTCTACTAGAATTATGAATGAGAATTTATTTTCTTACCACAAATCGTGAACAAGCAGAAAATCTCATCTGAAAAAATGTGTAAAAATTACAGTAACTTTTTCCGGCTTAAAACTTAAGTGTTTTAAAACCTCATGAGAAATTTTAGAAATCTTAAGAATAAAACACATTACAAAGATTTTCATTTTGTAGTGGCTTATTAAATTCTGGGGCGGGGGAAGCAAACAGCATAGATAACATTAAAAAGAAGGTGAGAATGACCAATTTGAGGCAATAGGTTTTCTATTAAAGAAAACGGGTTGAATCTTGATACCAATTTGATTCTCTAAGAACATAGATTATATTCTAGTCTGCCTTTTTTTAAGCTCTCTGAATATTCTCTAAGCACAGAGGGCTGGCTTCAATTAAAAAGCTGCCAAAAGACTCACTTGGAAAAATAACCACTTTGCAATGATGAGAGTAATATTTATTATTGTATTTCACTGGTTCAGAAACCAAGGCGCAGATGAGTGATTTGCTCGATTATATAAAACTTTGTTAAAAGTAAGAGGTTTATTACACACAGACTTTTTGATTCTAGTTGAGTCTCTTTTTTTCCCCCCACTAAATCTAAAAGGCTTTGAGTATTTCTTGCTCAAATTTTTCCAAGTTCAGCTCCTAATGTAGTTTATGTGGGGCATGGTGGGCAGTCCGTCCAAGCAAAGCTTTTGAGGCTTGTGGGCTGCAGGGGTCAGGGTCTCAGGGTGGCACTTATCTGGACCTCACTGTCCAAAAGCCCACATGTTCCAGTAAAATAAAATCCCACCTGAAGAGTTATGAGTTTTTAAATCGCTTAACCCGATTTATCCTAAGATTTCTCTTTTTTTCTGAAACAGGGGTTTATTCTGGTCATCCAGACCGGAGTACAATGGCACAATCTCAGCTCACCTCCGCCCCCTGGGTTCAAGTGATCCTTCTGCCTTAGCCTCCCAAGTAGATGGGACTACAGGCACATGCTACCTCTCCGGGCTAATTTTTTTATTTGTTGTAGAGGAGGGGTTTCACCCTGTTAACCAAGCTGGTCTCAAACTCCTGGGCTCAAGCAATCCTCCCACCTTGGCCTCCCAAAGTGCTGAGATTTTGTGTGTGAGTAAATCTTAGGACACCCAGCCTTTAGATTTCTTTCTAACATTTGTAAATGCCTGCAATTATACTTATGGTACAACGAGATTAGCAGTACTTGAGTACTCCTATAAAAGCACTCAAGATTTTGTAGTTTAGAAGTTCTTGTGGTCCCTTTTCATTTCTGTCCAACTCAGGTGTCAATTCTTCTACCTAGTTGTTAACCCCCTGCCTTTGCATTATTCTTATTATCACCAGCTTCACTGGGCTCAGGACAGAAGGCACTTCCCATCTTACGGGGCTCTGTAGAAAGGTTTACCATTTTACATCCATCTCACGATGTGTGCTGGATTCAGCTTCCATATTCATTCTTCCTGTCATATCACATATTTCCTCAGATTGCCTTTATAAGTTTTTCATAGCCTTTGTTTCATCAGGTTAAAATTATTTGTTACTGTGTTAGATTGTATCAACTTTGCACACATATTGACTCAAATTATGTTAGGCTGATGGGTCTGTCTCCTGTTCTTTAAAATTAAATTTGAAAGGAGACTTCACAATTTGTACCAATAATCTATTTTTTAAGTTTAAAAAATAACGGACCTTATAGGGAAAATGAAAACAGTTTTCTAAATAATCATATCCAGTAAATGATAGAAAAGCACTTGAAAAATGCAGAAAAGTTGGATCTTGAATAATGACATTTGACAATAAATATATTGCTTCTTTGTCTTTAAATCAACTACTGTTTCCTTTTTCAGTTAGTTAGAAAGCAAAAAAATTAAGGAAGACAAGTCCTTACCTTTTCCTTGACTGCTTCCAGCTCTGCATCTGTAATCTTCCACGGAGTTTCTCTTTTTAATTTCTCAGCAGTTGTTAAATCTTTGCAGCTTTCATGGAGACGATATGGTTCAATCATCTCTTCAAAGACTTTCCAGCTAAAATTTGAATTATAAAGGAGGCCTCACAGTAGGAAACTAACTCATTATTTCACAGATAGTCCTGGTATGACTGGCTCTGCTGGCTGTGGAATCAGAGCTGAATGTCATGCAAATCCTTTAAGAATTACTTTGCAGGGAATTTACTGTGAGTAAAACTGTGGCTACAGTACTCCCTACCTACCCAAGGAAAGGCCTTAGTGTGTTCGAGGCCTTGTTAGCCTATTAGGTGTTAGATTTTCAATATTAACAGACAAACATATAGGTAATAATTGTTCTGCAAATACATTTTCTGCATAGAGCAGTCAAAGACATGGCTGCAATATAGACACTTTAGCACACAAATGAGTTTCCACCTGTTTATTGTACAGACTCTATGGGAGAGATTTATCAATTAATGTAGGAGATGAACTAGGCTCAATGGGAGTTGAATGTGGCTACCCTCACCCTTAGTCCACATGGCAACTCCCACTCATGGCAGGAGGCCACGGGCAGGTAGGAGGAGAACAGCAAGGGCTCCCACCAGTTGAATGGTTGTAGAACAGTGTGGATGTTCGCTGCAAATAATGCTCCCCTCGTCCTTTTGTTGGTTAATGTTGCTGTCTGAGATTTTCAAATGAGTATTATTCAGGTTCATATTCGGAAGAAAAACAAAAATCAGTAATGTTTTAATGCCTAAGAATCTGAGGTTATGTTAGAACATTTAAAAAGAAATTGCTAAGGAGAAAACTAGCAGCTAAGAGCTATAGCACATTTTAAAAATTACTTGTATGAGCCTCATAAGATTTATTCTTAAAAACAATGACACAAAGTAAAACTTAAAATTTATGGCAGTAGTTGTCTCTAGTATGCTACTTTAAGATGATCTTAAGTATGAACAATTTCTTTGGTTTCATATAATGTAGCTTAGTTATAATTTAGTAATCTTGGAATGAATGATAATTAGAATCGATATGCTGTTAGGTCAAGAAATGAAAACATGAAGTAATGAGTTCAATTATCTCACCAACTGACCTGATTTAGGATTTGCACATAAAAGTGCAGAGATGACAAAGGAGCAGGATTGTCTCTACTAGTGAGCCTTTGTGAAGAGACTGAAAAGATACTTAATGCATTAGACTTCCATTGCACTGATTGATTTAGAAAGGTAGGCAAAGACAGGGAAAGATTAAGACTGATAGGCCCTATTATTCTTTCAGCTTTTATTTCCTATTTCCACAGTGTCATGCCTTTAGAGACTTTGGGGAATTGCCATTACTCTGGAAAGGGGCTGGCCTCAGAGAGTAGGGTCTGGGTTCTCCTCTGGCTCCTGCACTGTCCTCCTTGGCCTGCATATTCTAGGCTATACAAGGGGAGTAACAATGGCTGCGAGAAACTGGTTTGAGAGTCACTGTGATGATTTGGGTGACAGTACTCTGAAAAGCATGCAGTGCCTTGGAAAGGCAAGACATTCACTTTACTCAGCAGCCATGGAACTGAGATGACCAACGGGAGAGGCTCTCTGCTTAAGTTATTCGCATGCTTATTTTAATCAGGATAAAAGTTTCTTTGCAGCTCAGTCCAAATCCTTGCTAGAAAGCACAGTACAAAAATACTTTCCTAAGAAATAGAAGGTGGAGCAGAGGTTGTTGGTTGTCTCCCCGGCATTTGTACTACGTTTTCCTCGTAGTTTCAGTGGGAATAACTCCAATGACAACATCAGCCAATCAGCACAACTCTATGCCTTCTTCCAGACTGATTGGCCAGGGGTGGGCACATAACACAGGTAAACTTGAACTGATAAGCACCCACTATTACGCTGACCACAGTAATGGCTCAGTGGCTTAGGTTAGTGAACCCAGAATGGAGCCCTGGACACCGAGCTCAGTGATCTGGGAAGAGACAAACTTTCTCTTTTATAGAACATACATGAACAAGTAGGTAGTCCTGGTTGCAATTGATAGTCCATTTTCTTTTATAAGTGAAATCAACTTTGATAGACGCTTTTATAAAAAAAAAAGTAGGGAGACTGCAAGAAAATTAGTCCTTGATTACAAAATTAACCTTCTAGATTAAGCTTAGCCTGAAATTCAAACTACGCTTCTATTTTTAAGTTATACATGAAAGTAATTTTCCCATCGTCAAAATCACTGTGAGTTAAGTTTTCTTTTACTTGCACTTGAAACATGCTAAGTGACACAGGAGGTAGTAAAGGGGCTGTATTTGCCCATTCTTTTTCTATGAATTCTTACTGTTCCTTTTCTGCTTTAATCTTTGATTTGTCTATCCTTGGGCTCATCCTTGAGCTGCCATTTTTCATTCTCCTAGCTAGGGGATCCTGACATAGCTCAAGATTTCTATTTTGGCTGGGTGCAGTGGCTCACCCCTGTAATCCCAGCACTTTGGGAGGCAGAGGTGGGCGGAACACAAGGTCACGAGTTCGAGACGAGCCTGGCTAATATGGTAAAACCTTGTCTCTATTAAAAACACAAACATAGGCCGGGCATGGTGGCTCATGCCTGTAATCCCAGCACTTTGGGAGGCCGAGGCGGGCAGATCATGAGGTCAAGAGATCGAGACCATCCTGGCCAACATGGTGAAACCACGTCTCTACCAAAAATACAAAAAAATTAGCTGGGCATGGTGGCGCACGCCTGTAGTCTCAGCTACTCGGAAGGCTGAGGCAGGAGAATTACTTGAACCCAGGAGGCGGAGGTTGCAGTGAGCCGAGGTCGCACCACTGCACTCCAGCCTGGCGCCTGGTGATAGAGTGAGACTCTGTCTCAAAAAAAAAAACAAACAAAAAAACAAAAACAAACAAAACACACACACACACACACACACAAACATTTGCTGGGTGTGTTGGCATGTGCCTGTAGTCCCAGCTACTTGGGAGACTGAGGCAAGAGAATTGCTTCAACCTAGGAGGTGGAGGTTGCAGTGAGCTGAGATCATGCCACTGCACTCCAGCCTGGGTGACAGAATGAGACTCCATCTCAAAAAAAAAAAAAAAAGATTTCTATTTTGATTCTCATTAAATCTGATTTTTTTCCTTATAATCACTTTTTTTTTTTTGAGACGGAGTTTTCCTCTTGTTACCCAGGCTGGAGTGCAATGGCACGATCTCAGCTCACCGCAACCTCTGCCTCCTGGGTTCAAGCAATTCTCCTGCCTCAGCCTCCTGAGTAGCTGGGATTACAGGCATGCACCACCACGCCCAGCTAATTTTTTGTATTTTTAGTAGAGACGGGGTTTCACCATGTTGACCAGGATGGTCTCGATCTCTTCGCCTCGTGATCCACTCGCCTCGGCCTCCCAAAGTGCTGGGATTACAGGCTTGAGCCACAGCGCCCGGCTCTTATAAGCACTTTTAACTGACTATAGAAGAAGTGTTACATGCTGTTAAATATAAATAATAATTCACTTTTTTAAAAAAACAATAGCTGCTCTGCCTTCTCCATCCTTGTTCCTCATAAAAAGTCTAAAATTTTTTTAATTGCATAATATTTTCCTTCCAAGTCCACATAAAATTTCATCTCTCAAAATAATGTACCAGTTGTTTCTGCGACCACTCTAACATCTTTAAACTAAATTATCTACTTAATTGCTTCTAGTTTTTCTTTGATTTCCACATAAAGATTGTTGTCTTTTTGTCCTGTGACTTTTAATTCAGTCTATGCAATAAAAAATGGAATTTAACCACAAGAGCTTTTCAGTTTCTCCTGGCTCAATTATTTTCTCATTAACTTTGCTTCTGTACTCCCTTTCACCCTGGCCTTACTATGTTTATAGATAATATTGCTATGATAAAATTCCTCCATCAAAACTTACTGATGTTTTATGGGTAGTCGAAAGATTTATTAAAGGCAATTTGAGGGCATTTAAAATTAGCCTCCAACATGGAAATCATTGACAAACTATTTTTGACTTTGTGTATCACCTGATGACCAAGAAAGAATCGTGATCAAGGGATAGTGTTAACAGCAGGTAAGGGCTGCCTGGCCAAGGTCCAAGTGGGAGCTGAAATTGGGCCAGTGTTCTATTCTCTAAGACTTAGTCCCTGGGTCTGGGGCTACAGCAGCCCGGATGAAGAGTTCTCTTTCCCAGATTAGACCATCAAGGGGAGTTGCCTTAATTAAGGTATTACAAATGTGCCAGGTGGGCTACTAGTGGCCATCTATGAGATTTATTGAATGATCAGACTGTGTTCTACAACAGGGTTACTTTCAGGTATTGGAACAGCCATTGCCAACATCAGATAGCGACTGTTTTATAAAGTCATATGGCATCACTTATGGCAGGAAGCTGAAGAGAGGATGATGTCTCTTCCAGCACACTCCTTTTGGTGGCCTCTTGTTTCTTTTTATCTTTTTTTTTTTGAGACGGAGTTTCGCTCTTGTTACCCAGGCTGGAATGCAATGGCGTGATCTTGGCTCACCACAACCTCCGCCTCCTGGGTTCAGGCAATTCTCCTGCCTCAGCCTCCTGAGTAGCTGGGATTACAGGCACGCACCACCATGTCCAGCTAATTTTTTGTATTTTTAGTAGAGATGGGGTTTCACCATGTTGACCAGGTTGGTCTCGATCTCTTGACCTCGTGATCCACCCGCCTCGGCCTCCCAAAGTGCTGGGATTACAGGCGTGAGCCACCGCGCCCGGCCAGGTCTCTTGTTTCTTTAGCAGGGTATACTGGCCACAAGGATTTTTTTTTTTTTATTTCATTAAGAATGGATTTGCTTTTTCTACATTTTCCTTAATACCTTGAAATAACAGAGAGAAAATCTCCAAACTTTTGGAAACTAATTTATTTCCTGACAAAAAAATTAACTCTCTTAATTCCAGGATAATGAGGACATATGACAAATACCAAATTAACACGGTGGACATCAGAAGAGGACATCATGGGACAAAGGTCAGAGCAGTAAGAAGAGTGTCCGGACTATGAAAAGTATTCAAAGAATAAAGAGGCTTGGTTATCGGAAGAGGTATATCAGCTTTCCCAGCAACAGGACGGAAGGGGCGGCTATGCAGGGTGGTGACTATGGCAGCTGGACAGAGACTGGTACAAAAGAAGGGGAAGGAAACAAGAACGTGGGTAGAGAAAACCGGACTGACAAGCAAAGAGACAAAGAAATAGAGGGACAAATTCGTCAGTAAACATTGATAATGCTTAGCGAAGGATAAGACCAACAACAGCAAGAAGAATTTGGCTATCAGAAGTGGATGAGGCCAAGTGTGGTGGCTCACGCCTGTAATCCCAAAACTTTGAGAAGCCAAGGTGACAGGATCAGTTAAGCCCAGGAGTTTGAGACCAGTCATGGCAACACAGTGAGACTTTTTCTCTACGAAAAAAAAAAAAATGCTGGGTATAGCGGCTGATGCCTAGAGACCTAGCAACTCAAGAGGCTGAGGCAGGAGGATCTCTTGAGCCTAGGAATTAGAGGCTGAAGTGAGTTATGACTGTGCCACTGCAACCTAGTCTAGATGATAGAGTGAAACCCTGTCTCAAAAAGAAAAAAAAGGTAGTGGGTGAATAATTCAGGCCCAGCATTAAGTTAGGGCTTATGGAAAATCCGAAGTCTGTAGACACAGTGCCTACCCACTGGACAACAGAAAATGCAAATGCCAAAATGCACTGACATAGACAGTACAATGACATAGAGAATGGAAATTCTTTGAATAAAGAGTGGAAGGCTACCAGAGATTATTGTATGACAACCCAGTTCATATCAGAATGTTAATTCCATTTATCAATGAGAAGGACATGTTCTTAGTTTTTCTTATGTATTTGGAATTGTAGAAATATAAGAATGTAAGGCATTAGAGTATGATGTAAAGAAATATCACAAAGTAATGAACAGTTTAACCCTGTCAATTGCAGCTTTCTTATCACAGTTAATGTATTATTATTATTATTATTTTTTGAGATGGAATCTTGCTCTATTGCCCAGGCTGGAGTACAATGGCATGATTGTGGCTCACTACAACCTCTATCTCCTGGGTTCAAGTGATTCTCCTGCTTCAGCCTCCCAAGTAGTTGGGATTACAAGTGCCCCCTACCAAGTCTGGTTAATTTTTGTATTGTTAGTAGAGACGGGGTTTCACTATGTTGGTCAGGCTTGTCTTGAACACCTGACCTCAGGTGATCTGCCTGCCTTGGCATCCCAAAGTGCTGAGGTTACAGGTGTGAGCCACTATGCTTGGCTCTTTTTTCTTTTTTCTTTTTTTTTTTTTTGAGACAAGGTCTCACTCTGTCACTCAGGCTGCAGTACAGTGGGGTGATCGTGGCTCATTGCAGCCTTGACTGCCCGGGTTCATGTGATCCTTCTGCCTCAGCCTCCTATCTAGAACTACAGGCATACCCTACCAAACCTGGCAAATTTTTGCTGTTTTTGGAGGGTCTTGCTATGTTGCCTAGGCTGCTCTGGAACTCCTGGGATCAAGTAATCCTCCCATCTTGGCCTCCCAAAGTGCTGAGATTACAGGTGTGAACCACCATGCCTTGCAGTTAAGGTGTTTTGTGGAGCCATTTTAACTGACCTGCCACCTTGGAAGGATCATGAATAACCCTAAATAACATGAAATTCAAGTTTGTTTCATCAGTAAGAATGCATCTTAAATTGGAATAATTTTTGGTTAGTTATTAAGCTCACATAGAATAACAATAAGCCAAAAGAAAAGGCAAGAAGTCTTGAAAACTGTAGAATTATAACACATCAGGAAGTACAAAAGGAAGAAGAAATGACGGTCAACAGAAAAGGAAAGAGATTTGACAGAACTGTGATAATCTAAGCCATTCCAAGACCTTCACATCCCTCTGTATGATTCCTCTTGGAGGCCCCACTCCACACGAAATCAAATGTATTTAATTGCATCTGAATGCAACAGACAATATGATTTTGGACTATAAACAATTGAAGACATTTTATAATTGCCAAATGATAACTCTAAATATTTCATTTAATTTATAATTGGCTATGGTTTCTAAACAATCTTCTTGCACCCTTGCAAACTACTGTGAAGATCCAACCTACAACTGTTTTCAAATATCAGTGTTGCCAGGTGTGATGGCTTGTGCCTATAATCCCAGCAGTTTTGGAGGCTAAGGCGGGCAGATTGCTTAAACTCAGGAGCTTGAGACCAGCCTGGGCAACATGGCGAAAGCTTGTCTCTGCCAAAAAATTAGCCAGTGTGGTAGCACGTGCCTGTGGTCCCAGCTACCCGGGAGGCTGTGGGTAACTCCCCATATAGGTACCGAGGAAGGAGAGCTAAGCAGAATCCTGGCACAATGAAGACCTGGAGAATATCTCAGTTTATAGTGTTACTACTCAGTGATTTCCTTTTATATAATCCTTTATATAATCATATATTAGTTTATAGAATTAGGGCTTGGAGAATATCTCAGTTTATAGTGTTACTGCTCAGTTATTTCCCTTTATACAATCCTTTATATATAAACATATATCAGTTCATAGAATGTGTGCCTAAAGAATATCTTACTACTCAGCTATTTCCATATATGTGTGTGTGTGTGTGTGTGTGTGTGTGTGTGTGTGTGTGTGTGTATACATGTCTTAGTTTATAATTGGAGGAATGCCTAGAGCAGACACAGTGCAGAGCATGATTTAAGGGAAAACAGTTATACTCAGACAAGAATCCATGGCCCAGGCAGTAGCGTTCAGTATTATAAAGATACCCGCTGTATGGCAAGCTTGGGGCAAGAGCCACTCCTCCTGATAAAGGAGTTGTAGGACCTTGCTCCAGTTCTTGTAGAAGGCTGCCCTCAAACTGGCAATCACACCTTGGTGACTGTGAACTTTCTTAGCTCTTGTTACTGTGCTGCTCGAAAAGCATTCCCCTATAGAAGTCATTGGAAGCTGCCAGCATTGGCGTAGCCCCTGACAGCTCTGTCACTGCTATGTGACTTAAAGCATCCTCCTTTAAATTTTCTTAGTAGCTTGCCCATAGATAGAGGTATTGCACACTGCACCCGCTTCACTGCGCATGGCCCACCTCCATGCCTCGGTGACCTAATGGGGGTGGACCGCTTACTACACACGGCCCTTGCCTCAATAACCTAATGGGAATGGACCCCTTGCTGTGCACTGTCCACCTCCCAGCATAGGTGACCTAATGGGGGTGGACCCCTTGTTTTATTGCTCACGACCCTATTGTATCCTTAAAGATGACTTCACTCACTGCCCTGCCCCCTAACCTATACACAATAAACACGCTTCTAGACATTCGGGGCCTCGCCTGATTCCACTCATAGGTGGCGTGGCCCCTCAAGCCCAGCTGCATTTTCCTTGTACTTCCGTGTCCTGTCTCTTTATTTCTCGGATCCTGTGCCTCAGCACAGCAAAAGGGATACCCCATGACCCTGTGGGCCAGCAGCCCTACAGAAGGCCGAGGTGGGAGAATGCCCTGAGCCCAGGAGGCAGAAATTGTTGTGAGCTGACATTGCACTGCTGCACTCCAGCCTGGGTGAAAGAGTGAAACCACATCTCAAGAAAACCACAAATAGGTTCCCTATTAAAAGATTAGTGCCCTTACAGGAAGAGAAAGAGAGAGCAGAATTCTCTTCCCATGTGAAGACATAGCAAGGAGGTGGCTGTCCACACACCAGGAAGAGGGTCCGTAAAGGGAACTGAGTAAGTTAGCAATCTTCTTGCATCCTTGAACTTGGACTTCCCAGAATCTCGCCAGAACCATGAGAAATAAGTATCTGTTGTTTAATCCACCCAGTCCATGGCATTTTGTTAGAGCAGCCTGAGCTGACGAAGACAATGATGGAGTTGATAAATATAACAATTAATGAGGATTAAAATAATGCCACATTTTGAAGATATTTAAATGATTAATTTGATTTTGTCATTTTTTTTAAAAAAAATTTTGAAGCCAATGCATTTATTTTCCAGGCTTCAGATAGTTTTAGAGGTCCGCCCCCCAAATTCACAGGCCTTACCTGTTGTGTCTTTAGTGCCTCAAAGCTAAAATGGCCCTGGAGTGTTGGTATTGCCAGTGTGCCAAGAAGACACAAGCTGTTTCCACATCTTCTCCATCAGAGCTCCCCATCCAGGATGCCCACGAGTAACTCCGAATAACAAAACTTGCCCTGAAAGCTCTGGTCAAAATAGTATGACCTTGCACTTCCGGCTTCTCTTGCCACCATAGAAACCAACAGGAAGGGCAACTCTAAAAACTAACTAACCTGTTTTAACAGTTCTCCCTCTCAGGCTTGTCTTCACTGTAAAAGCTTTTCTTCCCTTTAGAATGTACTTGTTAGTTCTATATTATGATTATTTAAAGGCCCTTCTTATTAGATCCTATCAAGAAGTCACTGCAGTAAATACGTAACATTTTTCCTGTTTGATAATCAACACAAAAGAGAATGAGAGAGTATCAGGGGTTATCAATAGATCTTGTTAAATATTTCATACCTCTCTTTGTTTGGCTTAATGTTGATGTCACCAATGATATGGATGTCTGCAAATTTTATCCTAAATTTGCTCAGAAGGGAGGCCATTCTGAAAATATAAAAGGAAAATACTTTATCATTGCGTATTTAACTATTTTCAATCAAAGAGTTTTGTGTTTGAGTTAAGATATCAAAAGCAATCACATCTCATTTCAGCTTAGCTTTCAGACAGAGGCCTTTTGGTTGGTGTTTGATTTTCATTACAGTACTTGATGAACGCATTAAGTGTGGGCCAAGCTATTTCACTGACGGCATAAAGAAACCTCTCTAGGTGCAGACACTGGCAACAGCCAATCCAACTCTGCATTTATATCCCAGGGAACAGAATGCAAATTCGTCCACATTTCTTATGATTTGAAAGACAGCAAGTCTTAATACGTATGGACTATCATATTAGTGATAATTTCTATAGAGTTACAAACTACTGACCAATAGCTATCACATAATATAGCATAATATGATAAATTATATATGATTAATTATATCTATAAACACATAAGTTATATGTTATATAATATATCGACAGATATTATAAAATTATCCAACCTCATATATATTTATATGAGGTTTTTTCCCCAACAATGGATAACTTTGATATAATGTCAAAGTTACAGAAAAGTTGTAAAGATAATACAAAGAACTCCCAGATTCACCAATTATTTATATATATATTTTTTGAGACGGAGTTTCACTCTTGTTACCCAGGCTGGAGTGCAATGGCGCGGTCTCGGCTCACTGCAACCTCCACCTCCTGGGTTCAAGCGATTCTCCTGCCTCAGCCTCCTGAGTAGCTGGGATTACAGGCCCGTGCCACCATGCCCAATTAATTTTTTGTATTTTTAGTAGAGACAGGGTTTCACCATGTTGACCAGGATGGTCTCGATCTCTCGACCTCGTGATTCACCCGCCTTGGCCTCCCAAAGTGCTGGGATTACAGGCTTGAGCCACCGTGCCTGGCCAATTATTTATATTTTGTCCCGTTTGATTTACCATTTTCTTTGTTTCTGTCTCTTTGTATTTATCTATCTATTTACTTCTATCTCCATCTAGCTACCTATCTACTCTATTCTTTTACAGTCAGTTGCAGATATCAGGTACCTTTACCCTGAAATTTTTCAGTGAGCAGTTTCTAAGAACAAGGATAATCTTTTATATAAAGAGAGCAGATTTTTAAAAATTGGACAATTTAACATTGATGTCATACTATCATCTAAGTCACAAAACATTTTCAAATTATTCTAATTGTTTCAATAAAATATTGCCAGCTTTAATAAATATAAAATATTATAGATATTATGTTAGTTTCCATGCTAATATGATCCTCTTTAAGTGGAATTAAATATATACAATATCAATATATATATAATATATTGCTTTGATTGAAAAGACATATATGCATAACATATATGCAGTCATACACCATATAACAACATTCTGGTCAATGACAGACTGCATGTACAATGGTGGGCCCATAAGATTGTTGTGGAAATGAAAAATTCCTATCACCTAGTGATGTCATAGGTGCTGAAATGGCATAGCACAACACATTATTCACACGTTTGTGGTGATGCCAGCATAAACTAACCTACTGCCCTGCTAGTCATATAAAAACACAGCACATACAATTACATACAGTACATCACACTTGATCACAATAATAAATGACTGTTACTGGCTTATAAGTTTACATACCATGCCTTTTATTATTTAGAGTGTACTCCTTCTACTTATTAAAAAAAGTGAACTGTAAAACAGTTTCAGGCAGGTGCTTCAGGAGGTATTGCAGAGGAAAGGACTGTCACCACAGGAGATAACAGCTCCATGCCTGTTACTGCCCTGGAAGACCTTCCAGGGGACACAAGATGTGGAGGTGGCAGACAGTGATACTGATGATCCTGATCCTGGGGAGGCCTGCACTCATGTATGCGCTTGTGTTTCAGTTTTTAACAAAAATATTTAAAAAGAAAACATTTAAAAATAGAAAAAAGCTTACAGAATAAGGATGTAAAGAAAATACTTTTGCACAGCTGTACAACAAGTTTTAAGCTATGTGTTATTACAAAAGAGTCAAAAACGTAGACATTTATAAGTTAAAAAAAGTTACAGTAAACTAAGGTTAATTGGTTACTTTATTATTGAAAAAAGTATTTTTTATTCCCAGGTCCAGCTTTGAAGAAAAATATTTCCGTATAAATCTTGTGTAGCCCAAGTATACAGTGTTGATAAAGTCTACAGCAGTGCACAGTCATGGCCTGGGCCCTCACTTTCACTCACCACTCACTCACTGACCCGCCCACAGCAACTGCCAGTCCTGCAAGCTCCATTCATGGTAAGTGCGTTATACAAGTGGACCATTTTTCATCTTTTATGCTGTATTTTTACTGTAACATTTCTATGTTTTGATATACAAATATTTACCATTGTGTTTCAACTGCCTAGAGTGTTCAGCTTAGATTTGTAGCCTAGGAGCAACAGTGTATACCATGTAATCTAGGTGTGTAGTAGGCTATACCGTCTAGGTTTGTGTAAGTACACTATGATGTTTGCACAATGATGAAATTGCCTGACACATTTCTCAGAATGTAACAATGTAGCAATGTATAACTACGTGTGTGTGTGTGCGTGTGTGTGTGTGTGTGTATCTATATATATAGAGAGATATATACGTAGATAGATAGACAGACATATTCACATTCACAGTCCAATACATCCTAAGAGGGAAGAGAAAATATTAAAAATTACTGAATAAAGCCTGTCATTATTTTATGACTTCTAGAAGTGTTGGTTCCAGGAAGGGCTCGGAGCTTAAATATGCCCCGAGGAAATAAGAGCTGCTGAAGGTGGTTTTCTGGATTTCCACCAGAGACCTCTAGATATGTCATGTTCTCAGCATGCTTATTATTCTCACAACCGGCATCAGCTCTCAATGGCTAAATTAACGAGAAAGATACAGACTTGCCCTGTGAGATTTTAATTTTTTTAAATTAGAAGGCTTCTCTACAGTCATCCCTTTAAACTCTTCCAAACTACAAAGGAGAAACTGGTGAACCAGATATGTTTGGCGACTGTTGCAAAGTCCTGCAGCTCCTTGATGGCAGAGCTGGGGCTAGAATCCAGGTACAGTCTCTCCATTTAGTTCTCTTCTACATATACTGTGCTAAGAGTGACTGTCATGAACTAAGAGGTTTGAATTCCCCCAGAAAAAAACAACTGGACACAAATTCCTTCAGGCTCTTCTTTTCTTGGAGGCTTTTACTGGTCAGAACAAAATAAGCATTATATGAGATAACGAATCTTCCATTCAAGACTTGAGATGAAGCTTCTGTGGCACATTCCTTTTGGAAAGCGTTTGTGGCAAAGGGTCAGAGGACCTTCTTGAAGACAGCGATCAGGAAAAATATGCAAATAATTTACTGACCAGAAAACCAAGTAAACATGAGGCCTATTCTGGAGGCTTTGTCTTTAAGTCTATTGTGTCTCGGACACATTAAGTTATTAAAATTAAAGCATTAAAGCAATGAACCGCTAAAATGACCCAACACATGAATCGTAAACTACTTACGCAATTTTTTCTTCCTCAATGCGGTTGATCTTCCCTCCGACATAGATTCTTAACTTACAGTCTTTCCATTTTTTTCTGAGAGTCAAGATATAAGGGATAAGAAGTGTTAACCCTGGAATAAAGAGTAAATTAGACAGGATGAGTATATCTAAAAGGAAGGAAATGAATAGCTTGATATCTTTATTCATTCCCACATTCATAGTTCTTTATAGTTCCAATCTTTGGAGAACACAGAGTGTTATTCTCTAACCAGTATTTTCTCATATACCTCCTTAGGCAGTTTTAAGTTTATCAAAACTGAAATTCTTCTCCCTTGTGTATTTTCTGAAAGTTTTTACCTCCATCATCAAACAACCACCAAACGTCAATTGTGCCTTTTTCTTGTTTCTTTTTAAATTGAGTGCTGGCTTCCACCAGTTTCTGGTTGAACTCTCCCACATGCATTGACTGGATTGTGTTAATGCTGCCATCTGAAATGGAAGAGGGATTGATGCATCTGTTGCTTTTGAGGGCAGGAACAAAATAACTTTCTTATCAATCTACTGGTGAAAATAAAGAAAAGGTCACAGATTCCTGTTTATTAAACTTAAAATAAATAGTGACTCTATTCTTCAAAAGGCAAAGGTAAAAATCCAATCTCACAATAATTTAGACCACCTTCAATAGTTAAATAAAATATTGACAGTTAACAAGTAAAACAGCTTTATGATTATAGTTTTTATTAAAAGCAATGGATTATTTTCAGACCTTTAGTAATCTGCCTCAGAGTGGAGTTATTATTTAGGCATGTAATAATGCTAATAGCCAGAATATCCCCATTTCTCCAAATCTCAGATATAAATCAACTTAATAATATTAATATTTTTATATTTACTTAAAGAACATGTGGTAAGTGGTTTTCTAGAAATAACCCATAGAATCAGAAATATCCTTTAATTAGGGAATTCATTCATGAAGCACTCGTTTGGTTTAAGTTCCATTCAGGTCTGGTTTATAAAATTTGCCAGGGGCCACGTGCAGCTTTTTTTTTGTTTCCTTTTGAGGTGGAGTTTCGAACTTGTTGCCCAGGCTGGAGTGCAACGATGCAATCTTGGTTCACCACCACCTCTGCCTCCTGGGTTCCAAGCAACTCTGCTGCCTCAGCCTCCCAAGTAGCTTGGATTACAGGCATACACCATCACGCCCAGCTAATTTTGTATTTTTAGTAGAGGCGGGGTTTCTCCATGTTGCTCAGACTAGTCTCGAACTCCTGACCTCAGGTGATCTGCTGGCCTTGCCTCCCAAAGTGCTGAGATCACAGGCATGAACCACTGTGCCCGGCAACCATGTACATCTTGAATTCTCTATGACTATCTGGTCCCATTGTCAGCCTCACTTACTCCTCTGTTTTCAAGGAATCTTATAAAGCTAAGGTAAAGCCATCTGAGCTATTTGAATCTTTGTGAATTAGATGAAAATAAAAGCTAGAAAATATGGAAATACAAAACATCTTTACTTGAGTTATAATTGAGGGTGTATATAAAATAGTTAAAAATTTTTTAAATGCAATTTCTACCCTAAGATGGATACAATGAAAGTGTACCAGGGAACTAGGCCAGTGTTGGGGCAGGACCCTTGCTCCTATTTGCCAGTAGGGGTTTCTTTGCCACAGTGTACATAGTGTTTCTCATATCTGTATCTTTGTAAGTTGTGACTTTATTGCTCTATTTCGGAGAGGTGGTGTCAGCCCGGTGCTTAGAGGAGAGCTGACAGCCTCTTCAGAGCTTTCTCTCTGATCTAAGAGCTTCTGAAGATGCTTTGTTCTATCTTGTGCCGTTTCCGTGTTTGGGGTCTGTCATTCTGAAGCAATGACCTGATATTGTTTTTTACATCCCTGGGACCACTGAGGGAGAAAAATTTATTTACAAAATGGACCAAGCTCTGCCCTTACAGGCAAGTCAGAACATCCAGAGGCTTTCCGTTCACACCCAGGTGCCTGGGGGCAGGATTGGTTCTGATCTAGAACTCAAAAGAGTTGACAACTAACAGAAGCCCAGAGTGGTGAATGGGCTCACTTTAGAGCTGTGTTTAAACTTCTAGGTATTAAAACAATACATCATGTTACTACTTTTCTAAACAATTTGACATGTTGACTTTTGGAAGAGCATATTTTTGCCAAAACAAGTATTGTGAAGCAGAAATAAGCTTCCAGAATAAACAACAAGTCCTGGTGTCATAATAAGGGCGTTAATGCTTCCCTCTCTCCAGCTAGAGCACACTATTGGGCTATGACTTTTGAATTTTCCATTATTTTCTAGACTGCACAACTTAGCAGGGCAGATTTAATGGATTGTTAGCTTTTCACACAATGAAACCAAATAATTAGAAAGGAAAGAAGATAGTAGTTAGCACCCAGAAAGTTTTATTTAAATATTTTCACCGTCAAAGTCCTGATACAGCTTCAACTAGAATTCAATCACATCATTTACATCATTTTAAGGTGGGCTGTAAGGAATAGGTCACAGCCCATGGGATCTCCCCGGAGCTCAGGAGCCCGGAGTATTTGAAGTGGGACAATATCTGGATTTCCCAGCATTCTCTTTAGAGATATAAACTATTATTTTATAAGTGAAATTTCATCCGTGGGCTGTAGTAGGAGAGCAAACAGGCAACTATTTACAGGGTAGGAGACGGCCCTGTCGAAGAGACTCTTTAAAGGACTGGCGCCTGTCAACTGAGACCAGAAGCCTGCTAAGTCCCCACTTGGATTCTGCTATTTGATTTGGAGACCCTCCCAGAGAAACCATCTTTTCCTGGCCTCACACCAAAGTATGACTTCACTAACTTCAGGACACGCGTTCGAAAATGCCTGGTAATATTCTGATTTCTGACCAGCAGAGGTCACTCTGTACCTCATTAAACTCAAACCTACAGCGTTTTGGAAAGTAATTTTCCAGAAACCAAACGTTTGAATCATCTGTTTATAAAACGTATAACAAGCTCTCCCATCCTCTGATCCTCTGTTCCAGGACTGCATGCCAGAAGTTCACAGATAAGTGTACCATTTAGATGAAATCTACGGGTTGTAAGTATCAATAAAGTTCTAAGCCCTGCATTCTGGTTTGTGATAAAGACGCTTTTTTTTTTTTGAAATCAGTGTTCTAGCTGGATACCGTATTTGCATGTACTAGTCATCTTTCAGTTCCCTGAAATGTCTGCAAGAGAAGGGTGTGTGTGGATAAGAACAGTTTGGGTACTGGCTCTTAAATTTCTATATCCTCTTTCCATCTTAACTGAGAAATTTCTATTTTATGGCATGCAATCTGCTGAAGCTCTGTTTGACTCCCAAACCAAATATTACGTTTTAAAAATAATTTTTGACAGTAAGATGGTACAAAGCACTTAATGATGATGATAAATGACAATAGCTGCTACCTTTTATCCATACTACCTTCTAGAAATAAATTTTTCAGTTCCTACCCACACTCAATGCCCCCAACATCTTAAATGCTGACTTCAGACTCTTTATAGATCCTCAAATAGTAACTCATCTTGTAAACTTTCTGGCCAATTAAAAAAAGTACGTACCATTTTTAGGCGTTGTCTTGGTGATGTTCAACTTGCCAGCTTTTTTAAACAAGGCTCGGATGCCTCCACTTCCCTCTTGACACTCGTTGTCTTTGATAGTGGCTTCCAATGCTAGTCTCTCCTGTTCTAATCTCTCTAATTCCTCTGATGAAAGAAGACAAAATCACCTACTTAACTCAGAGCTATAAAGTTTCTAGAAACAATCTTATAAACTTTTAATATTTAAAATGGTATATATGCAATAAAATAATTGTTTATATATAGTATATTTTTAAAAATGATTTTTATATATTACCTTTTAATGAAAGTAATATATTTTGGCTGGATGAGGTAGCTCATGCCTTTAATCCCAGTACTTTGAGAAGCCAAGATGGGTGTGTCACTTGAGCCCAGGAGTTCAAAACCAGCCTGGGCAACGTGGTGAAACTCCATCCCTATGAATGATACAAAAATTAGCTGGGAATGATGTATAGTGCCAGCTACTTGGGAGGCTGAGGTGAGAGGATCACCTGAGCCTGGAAGGTAGAGGCTGCAGTGAGCCATGATCATGCCACTGCGTTCCAGCCTGAGTGAAATTCTGTCTACAAAAGAAAAAAAAATTCCATAATATATCATAGTAAATTGTATTCAAAAAATTTGTCACAACTAGCTTAGAAAAATAGCTCTACATGGCTGGGTGCAGTGGCTCATGCCTGTAATCCCAGCACTCTGGGAGGTCGAGGTGGGCAGATCATGAAGTCAGATTGAGACCATCCTGGCTAACAAGTAAAACCCCATCTCTACTAAAAATACAAAAAATTAGCCAAGTGTGGTGGCATGTGCCTGTAGTCCCAGCAACTCGGGAGGCTGAGACAGGAGAATCGCTTGGACCAGGGAAGTGGAGGTTGCAATGAGCTGAGATCGTGCCACTGTACTCTAGTCTGGATGACAGAGCAAGACTCTGTCTCAAAAAAAAAAAAAAAAAAAAAAGAAAAGAAAAGAAAAGAAAAATAGCTTTATGTGTTAAGTTATGATACATGAAGTTACTGGATTTTTATTTGTGAGGGCAAGAGAGGCTATTTAATGCCATCCTTATTCACTACCATGCAAAAACAAACAAACAGAAAACCTTGCACACTGTAGCCACTGATTTACTGACCTAAGCTTGTGGGTCAGATGTTTTACAACTGGAAGTGACAAAGTTACAGAAGTACACTGGCTATATATCAGATACACAACAAGGCCTCGTGAATTGAAACATAAAACTAGACAGCAAAGATTAAGAAAAGATAATAAAATCTTACAATAAACTCTATAGGCTCTGGATACAAATTAGAATGGAAAATATGCACCAGCAATTCCTTTCGATAAGCAAAATACTGCGTGGAGTACGTGACCAAAGTCAAAGACATAAAAGCTGAGGTTTCTGGGTGCCTGTCAGAGTTCACATTGCTAAAAGGGTCTTATGACACATTTGAGCCTGGAACAGGAGTCAAACAGTGTAAAATTGCCTGCCCAAGGTTGAGGCCCACTATCCAAGCTTTGATGTTGTATCTGGGTGCCTTTTATCTTTTTGGATTCTGATTGCGACGAAAATTTCCTAGCTGCTATGTAATGTGCTGGATCTCTCTTTGGCTCAGCCTGCACTGGATCAGGGTAAAGAAGACTTTCAAAGCAGTCATATGACACTGCTACACTTAGGCGGCTTCTTGCTTCTTGCTTACACTGGGTGAGGTGGCACTCTTGTCAGATGCCCTGATCATACTGCCTGCTGAGAACAGAGTCCCAGAAAATGAGCAATGCTCAGAGGAAGAGGATAGAAAACCTAGATTCAGTGTTACAAAACACTGGGAGAGCTTCTGTAAATGTCAACCCTCAGAGCCCATTGCCTTATCTCTCTGTGAAGCGAAGCTATACAAACTCTAGATTTATCAATTATGTACTAACTAAATCTGTCAGGACAGTCACATCCCTAGACGATGCTGCTATTCAGCTACACAGAATTGTCTGGCTCCTTTCCAGGTCTTAGCAATTAATCTTTTGCCAGTGGCATGAGATTTAAGGTCAAATCACCCATGTGATTTCCCCAAAGCTTCAAAGGTTCTCAAGACCAGCAGCTATAGAAAATCTGAGAAATTAGACTGATGGTATTAAAGCTCAGACAAGTTGCTTACCCCTGACTTTTGAAAGGTGAAGACAAGCTGCATTGCACTGGGGGTTCATGACCGATTATAGCTCTGCTGCTGGCTTTATGTGACATTTGGCAAGTAATTTACTTCTTCTATGCCTCAGATTTCCCGTCTGTGAAATGGAAAACTGTAACCCTTTCCCTTTCCCACCCTCCAAGCTTTGCAAAAAGAATAAACAAAGTTTCTGCACAGTGTTTTGGAGCTCCTAAAAGAACAGAGCAAGAACTGCATTCTGTAGGCAGTGTATTTATGCAACTTTTGGAAATGGGCCTAGTCATGCAAAACAAATTGAGTATTTTCAGATGCCTGGGAGTTATTTTAGCAGTTACTATTTATTGCACACTCTTTGGGTGCCAGGGACCGTGCTGCATTTTATTCCTTTCCAAACAACCCTGAGATAGTTACTACTATTATCATCTTCATTTTGTAGATGAAGAAACAAATAGGTTCGGTGACTTGTCTGATATCACCCAGCAAGTTACAGGGTTCATATGCAAAGAGATCTGGGCACGCTTCCCACCATGAAGATCCTCCTCCTGTGGCTTATCATTATGATTTCAGAGTTGTTTTATTACCCTCCTACGCTTTATCATCGGATGAACCTAAACACTCTGAGGCACATGGTACAATGCTAAGTTAATTCCCCCAAACGATGGCCCATCCAACATGTCATTTTGAAAGGACGACCCTAAGGATACGAGTCTATATGGCAGGCTGCACCCAAGCAGCAGCACTGGTACCTAGATTTTGTTGTCACTGTCTTGAAACACCCAAGCTGCTATCTTGCCTTCTGGGGTGTTTCAGGGGGCCAGCTGCAGGGTAACCTGCTCTTTGCAGACCTCTGGTGTGGTAACTGTAAAGGTTGCCCTGGGAAGGGATTCTTCTCTTTTTTGGTTGTGGGGGTGGCGTGGGCTCCAGTGGACCCTATGCTTAGCCACTGGTTGCCATGCTCTTTGATCTCTAGTTTAGAAAAAGAAGGAAAAAAAGATAAATCCTCCTTTGTAATGGAGTCAGCTGGCTGAGCGAAGTGGGAGTGATTCCAGCCGTTTGCTCGAAGGTATGTGCACAGCCCATCCAGAACAGAGCAAGCTGCAAAATTGCAGGCCTGAGAGACAAAATCAAATTTTGCTCGAATGCTTGAGATGTAGCCGTTTCCTCACAGATGATAGAGACAGAGGATGACAGAGAGTATCTATTCCAAAGGCTAAAATCAGCTTACTTTGACATCTTGGATTTTCAGATCCATACCACGGTGTGATCCCCATTTGCATAGTGATTTTCACAAGTTCTTATTCGAGTTAATTCTTAATTATTCACTTGGTAGGTGATCTAAGGCCTCCTTCTGCGTGCTGCTTCCTTTTCACATTTCAGCGCTAAACAGAAGTGATGCTTTGATTACGTGTTCTTCTGAAAGATCTATCTAGTGTACTGCTTGCCTCTGTTTGCATGCAGGGAAATTAAGAGTAGACTTTGTCAAAACATTTTTGTCAACCCCAGAAATACTGGTCAGGTAACTTGCAAAGGGATACCATTAGCCACAAGGGGAACAAGCCAAGAAAGTATGAATGAATGGCTGTAAGTTGATTTTCACTAGCCTGACAATAAAAATTATTCTATCATCACCACCATCACGACTACATTTTTAATGTTCAGAAATTACAAAGCCCTTTTTACACAGTACTTCATTTGATACCAATACCGGGACGTAGGCAGAGCTAGTATTGTTCTCCCCAATTTACCAAAAAGGAAACTTGGGCTCAGAAAGTTCAAGTGATTTGTCCAAGGTAGCACAGCTAGTGACCCAAGCCTTCTGCTCCCAGTTCTAGTGTTTGTCTCTCTTCTCCCTTCTTCTTCAGTGACATGCCTTGCTCACAATATCTGCCTGCTGAAGGAATACCCAGTCCACATATTTTTTAGAAACCATCCCCTAATTTCTCCAATCACAATCAATCTCCTCTACATTTCTGTAATACCTTGCTTAAACCTTTATTGCACTAACTATAACTGTGTGACTCGGATGCCTGTCTTATCCACAATGGACTGCAGACTCCTGGAAGGCAGAACTTACGCCCTATTTCATCACTCACATTTACTGAGAGTATGCTGTGTGGCAAGCACAATGCCAAATGCCTTGCAGCCATCAAATTCTTTAATCCAAAACAATAGATCTGTGACATAGGTACTAGAATTATTTCCACTGGAAAATGCAAAAAGTGAGACACAGAGAGGATGAGTAACTTGATCAATGTCACACAGACAAAAGGTGTCAGTTGGGATCCAAACCCAGATCTGTCTATTCCAAACCCTATGCTTGGACCTTACATTATCCCTCCCACGTTCTTCATTGTGACACCCTTCCCTGCTCGTACCTGGAACCATATTTGCACCAATAAGCCCTTTAGAATTGTGTGTTGAAATAAAGAACAGGTCAATACTGTTTAATTCAGTTCAGTATTTTTGAAAGCACTGCTTTTATAAAAGAAGAAAAATAAGTGTGGAGTTGTGAAGAATGGGGGTGTGAGAAGTGTGTGTGTGTGTGGGGGGGGGTAAGTATAAAATACAATGTTTAAAAGAAGTGAAGTTAATACTGTATACAAAGTTATATAAAAAAGAGGGGCAGACAGGGGACAGACAGGGGAACCAGGAAGATAGGAGCCTGGGAGATGGAAGCATGAGAGGCAAGTGGGGAAGGAGAGGGAACTTCTCCCTGGAAAAGGCTACCACCTGGAAATCCTGTAATGGGAACTACTGGGAACTTGAATGCACTGGATGATCTGTAGTACGTTATAATTTATAAGGACACGCTGCTACAGGAGAGAGAGAGAGATAGAGAAAGACAGAGATAGAGATAGAGATAGGGATAGAGAGAGAGAGATAGAGATAGAGAGCACGCCTGCCCTTCTCTCTTTTCAAGATGTTTATAACCTCAACCTGAGGTTCTAATGGTGGAAGAAAAAGCTTAGACCTTTTGGTTCT